TGTTATTAAAGCTAATGTTAAAAAAATTATCTAATACAAAGGTTGGGGAAAGAGCATCTGTACATCTGGGCATAGTGCTTAGATTACCCACAAATACAAAGTTTGTTTTTAAAGTCATAAGATACATATAGTGCATAATCAGCAATAACCCAAATGTAGGTGGATAGATTTAACAATACAGTTTAGATATTAGAATCCGAGTACTTGGGTACATCACTCATGAAAAGTTGTACAGAGATTTGGTTGTGGAACGCAAAAAATATCAATGAGTGGAGATTGTCCCAAATCCATTGGCAAGGACTCAAACCTCGGCCAACTGCTCAGAAGGCAGCTAAGCTCACCCACTATACCACCAATGCATCTACCTGCCATCAATCCCTTATTTTGTCTCATTGTACTAAAAGCCCCGTCTAGTTGTGGGAAATGCAACACACAGTGTCTTTGTTCATTATTCTTCACACATGTTAGTATAAGAGTATCAAAAAGTCAAACCCAAACTTCTACCCCAGGCTAACAAACAAGCCTAGATGCTAACAACACTGGATACGTAAACACATCCCGGCAGGCCAGCACAAGAACACCCCAACCGAGCACGTGATAAAGTGGTTTGATGAAAGTGGTGAATAGGGCTATTTCATCTGAAATATCAGAGTAAAAGTACAAGGGGAGGTAACAAACATGACATGAAACACGTAAGGTGTTACGTACATTGTTTATCCCAGATTGTTTGTCTCAGTCTATTAATGTTGGGATATCTTGCGTTAACCCTTTGTCTGGTCTAGGGGGCAGTGCAAAGTCCCGCCACTGACTGAGCTGGTCCATTGTCACGGGCATACGTGTTGGTGTACCTGTAACCTTTCCACCGGGGCATTAGCACCATGCGTCGTCAGCAATAAACATGACTTTTCTCAGTGGTACCAGATGACAGAACAAGAAGTAATGGTCTCAAGTTGCAGTGGGGGAGGTTTAGGTTGGATATTAGGAAAAACTATTTCACTGGGGGGGTGAAGCACTGGAATGGGTTACCTAGGGAGGTGGTGGAATCTCCATCCTTACAGGTTTTTAAGGTCAGGCTTGACAAAGCCCTGGTTGGGATGATTTAGTTGGGGATTGGTCCTGCTTTGAGCAGGGGGTTGGACTAGATGACCTCCTGAGGTCCCTTCCAACCCTGATATTCTATGATTCTATGGTACAAGAACACACAGACCTCTTAAGTAAATACATAAAGACATTCCGGAGCTGATGGTACAAGAACACACGGACCCCTCCTAAAGATAAGGATGGAGTGACAGGATAATGGATGAAGATGTTTTGTTCGAACTATGAGGTACAAGGTAATAACATATTGACTCTGGCCATTGGTCCACACAACCTTGAGAGAGAGAATGGCCATATTGATTTTTACCATTAGTCCACACAACCCCAAGACAAGGAGTGGTCATAAGGACACAACCGCAGGGAAGTAATTACCCCACCCCAAGAAGGGACAGGGCACACTTGCCCCGCACACTGGGGTATTAGAATTCTTATCCCTTGAAGCTCTCAGTGACCTGATCTGGAGGTGGATGGGGTGTGACGCTGGCAGACCAGGTGCCAGCTCATGCCAATGTCACCATGTCTCAACTGAACACTGACAAATACATAGCTGGAATCAGTCCTGCTCACCTGTGTGTTAGCATTGTTAAAATGGGTATTAGGATTATAAGAATGTGTTTAGTGTTTGGACTTCGACTGCTTGTGAGTTGCTGCACACATTAATCTCACTTATAACATCTGTATTCCATATTCTAAAGTAATCTTTGGGCAATTGTGAGTCTCTGTGACTGTATAAATCACCAGCCAGGAAAAAGACAAGAACTAGTGTAAAGTGCTGGTCTCCAACAGAAGGTGTTAACGTCTTGCCCAACAGGGATGGTCCATCAACACCAGATGGACTATTGTGGAACACTAAAGAGGACAAAAGCTATTTGTTGTTTGCCCTTCCCCCAGTGAAGATGTGTCATGCACGTGAATTCCTCCCATCAGCTGTATTTGCAGCTGCGCGCACAAGTGAGGAAGGGGATATTAACCCTTAATAAAGACAAACTGGATCTCTATATCGCTTGCATTCTAGGGGGCAAGCTGTCCTAGGCATAAGCAAGGAATACCCAGTCACTTAGCCTGGCCTAGCCCTAAAGGACATACAGAGCTTGCTTATTCTAGAAGCTTTTATCATCTTTGGAAACTTAAGATTGTAACTCATTTGTGTATCTATGTTCACCCGCTTTAGCCTTGTAAATAACTCTCGTTTCCTTTTCCTATTAATAAATCTGTAAATAGCTTATTATGGGACTGGCTACAAGCATTGTCTTTGATGTGAGATCCAAGGTGCAATTGACCTGGGGTAAGTGACGGGTCCTTTCAGACTGGGAGTAACCTGAATATTGCTGTGATTCTTGGTGTAAGGGACATCTATCACAAAGGCAGGCTCACCTGGGTGGCAAGACAGAGTGGAGTACCCAAGGGGACTGTCTGTGACTCCATGCTACATGGAAGAGTTTATACTTGATAATTGGTTAGTGAAATCTAAGCATAGGACTCACAGCATATCCCAGATATAAAGAGTCCAAAGAGACCCTGCAAATGGGGAAAAACATAGGCACTATTTACAACTATCAAGTATTTACCACTATATCTAACTCACGAGCTAGCTAACAACACTAAAGTATTCAACAGAACAGGGCACGCTACAGACTCCGTCTCAGGCCAAAGGGGAGAAGGGAATGAGGGCCGTTCAGCCACACGGCCCTATATATCCTTGGGTCGGGGAATGAGGATGAGTGGGGCCAGTGCCTAATTTGTAATGAAAGAGGTGCCAGGGCTGAAGCAATTTTTTTTACATTCATAACTGATATGGCAAACCCAGCGGTGCCGGGGCTATGAACTGCCATGCCTAGAGGTGCCGGGGGTCAGCCCTGGCAAGCCCGGGCACAAATTAAGCACTGGGTGGGGCGTAGGTATGGGCCAAACTGGCACGGCTACCAAAAATCTCTGATCAAAGGCACAGGGGTGCACGTGCCCCAGAAGTGGAGCACACATCACTACTCAAAGGAAAACCAGTTCTACCCAGATGGCCCCTGCATGGATAGAGATGCTGGGTAACTAGTGACACCCAGCGCAGAGACCCAACCGTGCCCAGACTGCCCCTACTGCACAGCAACCCTGGGTACCCAGTGACACCCAGCCCTACCCAGAATGACCCCTCCCTACCCCCCGCAGAGATGCAGGTACCCAGTGAGAGCCCTGAGGCTGCTCTATCTTACACAGAGGCTCTTGCCTGGTCCTAGACCAGCAGGAGAGAAAGGGGGACTGAAACCCACTGCCCCAAGTGCTGGAACACAGGGAATGCACATCTGGCCTTGCCCCTTTAGGGCCCGCTCTTGGCAGGTGCGGACACCAGCGACAGTGGTAGGTGCTTGTTCTCATGCAGCATCGGGGCCATGTCCCCTTGTTCAGTGAGACCCTCCAGAGCCTCGGCAGAATGATGCTCAGAGACTCGGAGAACAATATAAAAACCAGCATTTAATTGAAACATCGTTCAAACCAACTCGGTGGGTTATTATATAAATATAAAGTGCAACATTTCCAACAGCTCTATACATTAATTTCAGTCGAGCGAGAGGTTTGCAAGTGCACGAAACCGTATTGCTCTGCACTGTCAGAGAGAGCGCTGCTGAGGAAGTCAGCCCTCCAGGAGGGTTCTTTGGCTTGGCAAGTTTTATCAAGTCCCTCAGTGCATTCAAAAGAGGAGATCTCTGCTGGGAGGTGGGCACCCACCCTCTCCCCCAAGAGAGAGAAGGTGCTGTGCAAGGCTCACATTATCCAAGAGGAAGGATTGGATCATCTGCAATCAAGTATCCTCAACCCACTTCCACAGCATATTTTAAAAATGAGCAGGGAGTGAATTACAGCGGGTTTTCAGGTGCAAAGAAGAAAGGCTATTGGCTCTCAGGAGTGAGGCTGGGGCCTGGTGGACAATCACAATCCACCGTTCATATAATCTGGTCATAATGATTCAGTATATTTGTCACTCTGGGCCAGAGTAGATTTTCCGTGTCAATGAGGCCGACTTGATCAAGGAAAGATCTCTGGCCAAGAAAACGTTTAAACTCTTTTTTTTATCACTACAGACCAAACTCTGCTTTCTTACATCAATCCAGTCCCACTGCGTCAGCCATTAAACTCTGTGGCATGGTTCAGACAGGGTTCTAGATGGATGTTTGGGTGGAAAGAGAGAAATCAAAGGAGAAACTGTGCAAGTCATTTTTGCTGGTATGGTAGCAAAGGAACCAAATTCTCTGTGGGTTCTTCGGTGGAGTTTTTCCCAGCAGAAAATTTGGACTGTTGTCTTTCCTTCTGTCCCCTAGAGCAGAAAGTTGTGGATCAAAAAAGATCAGGCAATGTACTGAATTATCTGACATGAGCCCTGATCCTGCTCGATGGGAACAGGATTGGGCCCCATTGAAAAACAACGAAGCACTTTGCCTTAATTAACAGTGTAAACGGCCTCGCTCTGAAGCTACCTGCTGTGATTTCACACCGTAAAGCAATAGGGACAAATCAATCTTGTGTTCTTTTAAGACCGGGATTGGGGAGAGGCTGGGGGGTTGGCAAAGTGGACATAACCTTCAAATGGTCCCAGTGTGAGGAACAAGGCCACCCGGCTGCTGTCAGTGCGTCTGGAAAAGCAGAGTTTCACTCCTTTTTTTGCATCTTGCCCGTCTTCACTTCTTTTTTTCGCATTCAAGGGTCCAACGCATTCATACGGGGATGGGGGCTTTCATCCGGGGAGGTCGAGGTGTCTGTACAGGTTGCAGAGGGGTGTCCTCTGACATCTTAGTGCAATATACATGAGTGATACTGTTTGGGTAGAGCACCCCCTTGGGGCTGTAAACGGAAACACACTGTGAGTCTATGTCTTTGGCTGCTCCGGAGGGAGGGAGGTGCCCGCTAGGCAGCAGCTAATGGCACAGCACCTCTGTCTCGAACTGCAGAAGCTGTCCCATGAAGCCAAAATTGGGCGAGATGACCCCGCGGCGCTGCTTGACGAAGTCGAAGGCTTCTTCCAGGCGCACCCGCTGGGTCTGGATCAGGTAGGCCAGGCAGATGGTGGCCGAGCGGGAGATGCCAGCCTGGCAGTGGACTAGCACTCGCCCACCGCTGCTCTTCACAGAATCTAGGGGAGCAAGCAGAGAGGGTCACTGAATGCTCCAGCAGGACCCCTGGGTTGAGAACATCCTGTCCTGAGGCACTGCCCTCAGAACCCTCCAATAACCCCCCCGGATCTGTGCCCTTTAAACCCAGACTCTCCCGCTAGTATCTCTGGAGATCCCCCTTCCTCAGAGCCAGGGACCGAGCGCTCCATGCAGCCTGCCCCACAGGGTGGCTCATTGGAGATGCTTTGGCCAAGAGTCCCTACATGTAAGTGGCTGAAGTCCAGGGCAGGATGGGCCCAGTGTAGGGCTCTCAGCCCTGAAACTCCCTCCTCTTCTCCTTGCTGTGCACTGATCCCGCAGAGCTCACAGGCCTGATTCTGCTCTCGCTTACACCAGTGTAACCCCACTGATGTCACTGCAATTACTCCTGATTTGCTCCAGTGGCTGTGAGAGGGGAACCAGGCCCTGACCTGTTTGGCTTTAAGGCATTGGGTAAGAGCCATTGCTTTTCCTGGGGCATTGCCCCCAGGGGAGGACATGGGGCCAGGAATGAGACTCTGCTAGGGCTGGAACCGTGCCACATGGCTGGACCGGATCCTGGCACACAAAAGTTCTCCCTCTGGAGCAAGGGCTGCAGGGGGTTTAATAGTGCGCCATGCCTAGAGACTACGGGCCTAAACCAAACCCCACTGAAATCAATGGAAAGGCTCCTGCTCCTTTCAATGAGCCTCTGATGAGCTCTATGTGAAAGCCTCTGTACTAGGGCGTCAGTAGGGCTGCAAGGGGGAATGGCTGTACTCATGACTTACCAATAAAGCCAATGGCCTCCTGGAACCAGATGCTGATCTCGGCCATGTGGTTGTCCTCCACAGGGATGCTCTTGTAACGAAACTGCCCTTCAAAATGGTTGGGGCAGCTGGCAGAGACATTGAGCACGGCTGTGATGCCCAAGGACTCCAGCACCTGCTTGTTGGAGGAGTGGTAGCAGCTGCCCAAATAGAGGAATGGCAAGATCTCCACAGGGCCACCCTAGAAACAAGAAGAATAAAGACAACGTGAGACCTTCTTCCTCTGGGTTGATTTCACAGCTTTACCCTCCCCTGGAGACATGCACCCAGTTCGCCCTGCAATCACCTGGAGCTGCATCTGCCTATGTACTCCTATGCCCCTCATCTCTGCTGGATCGGAGTGCTACTCCAGCAATGATATCAGGAGATTAGACAGATGAACAGATTAGATTAGTGCCTGGACCGATGACTTTTCTGGGAGTGAACTGACAATAGACCCTGCACTTGACCTTGGCTGAAAACCCAGATCAGTTAATGATTAATTTAATCTGCGAGCCCCACAAATCCTGCTGACAGATGTTGGGCCAGATACACGCTCAAGGACAGATCCTGATGCTGTTGGAGGCTTTGGCAAAACTCCCATTTCTGAAATGGGATCAAGGACTGGCCCTCAAACAAAACGAATGACTAATCATTGTGGTACCCAATTCTGATCCCCGTACGCCAGCTCAGTAACACCTTCGCCCATGAACACTGACGTCAGCGGGCTCCTCAGCATTTAAGAGACCATTCGGGATGAGTCAGACTATCAGAATCGGGCCCTGTAATATGCTCTGGGGTGTCTACATTTGGAATGGGGGGAGGAGGGTCATTGTTGTAGATCAGCCTTCCAACCCAAGTTTGTTGCATTGCTGATGAAGTCAGGAAAACTTACCTGATCGTAGAAAGGAGTCATGGTCCTGGTGTTACTGTCGTCTTTGGGGTCTATCAGGGCTGGCAAGGAGGCAGGAGGAGGCGGTGGCTCAGAGCACAGTTCTGGAAAGCGGGCTTGGAAACCATCAAACCCCCCTGCAAAGAACACATCACGTTAATGTCAGCAGCAGGTAGAGCATCGCTGCTCAGCACATGCGCAGGGACAGGTGTGCCAGGGTTAGTTAAACAGGCACTGAAGCCGTTGGGAATAACAGGCAGAAAGGTCTTGTGCAGATGAGCCCAGGGAGTGGATCAGCATTTGTGTGCTGAAAATGCATTTTAAAATGGGGTTTGCTACTGCAGCTTGTAATCTCAACCTGCTGGTAGAAGGGGGGCCGCCTTTCTCCCGGGCCTCCCAAGCTGGAGGCAGGAGCCAGGTACTAACCATGTCTCCTTTAGCCCTAGCACTAAGGAGTAGTGTGAGCTGCTCAGTGAGTGTGACGGGCTGCAGGTGTGGTCCTGAATTTGTGTATTTGAATGTGTGTGTGAGAGAGAGGCAGAGAAGATTTCTGGTTGTTGTGCATGTGTGTTCATGAGTGGAAGTTGGTGCTGTGTGCCAGAGAGTTTGTGAGTGCCTGTAAGTTTGCGGGGTGCTAGTTAGAGTGTGTCATGCTGTGAATGTGTGTGAGATTGTGTTTGTGTGACATTTCTTATGTGTGTGAAGTGGTGGTACTGATACTCTATAGGAGTGAGCTTGTGTGTGATCCTGAGAGTGTGTGTGCTCTCCTGGTGCGGGGTGTTCTCCCAGGGTTAGTGGGGGTGCTCTCATGGGGTGTGTGTGGGTGCATTCAGTGTTCTCGGGGGGGGGGGGGGGGGGGGGGGTGCTCTCCTGGAGGGGTGCTGGGTGCCCACAGGCGAGCCCCTAGGGGAAGGTGCCTTTACCTCGGAGCAGGTAGATGAGCGTGGGCCTGGCTCTCGCTTCCAGCAGCAGGGAGTTGAGCAGCAGTCTGGCCAGGCTGTCGGCCCGCAGAGCCAGCACGGAGCCGCTGGCCTCGTCCAGCACCACCAGGCGGGACAGCTCGCCTCTGCGGAGCCGCCCCAGCAGCGCCCTGTCCGGGACGAGCCAGTCCAGGCTGACGCCGGCTCTGCCGCGGGATCTGCGGCGCAGCAGCCCGTTCCAGCGCACCGGGCGCGAGTCCCGCAGGTGAGCCTGGCAGAAGGCGAGGAAGGGCCGGCAGTCCAGCACCAGCGTGCGCCCGGCTTCCTCGGGCTCTCGGAGCAGCCTGGCGAGCTCCGCGCTCTCCAGCTGCAGCACCTCCTCCATCACCATGGCTGGGGCTGAGGGATGCGCCCACTCCAATCCCGGGGGGCAGCGCGGGGTCCGGAGCAGGGCGCACGGGCACGGCCGGGCAGTGAGCGCAACGCAGAGCAGGGCGCACGGGGCTGGCTACGCGGGGCGATGGACGCTTCAGTGTCTCTGCCGCCTGCCCGGGCGCTGGCGTTTAAATACCCAGAGCAGGGGCCAGCTCCGGGCAACCATATAAGGGAGTGTGTGTCACTGAGGAACTCCTTTTTTGGGCAGCTTCCACTCACGTGCACTGAGATCAGAGGAGCTAAGGCCGTCCCACTGCGCACGCGTGTGTGTGTGTGTGTGTGAGAGAGAGATTCTCTCTCTATCAGGGTATGTATATTTGTGTGTGTGAGAGAGTGTGTGTATCTCTCAGGGTGTGTGTACTTATATGTGTATGCGTGTGTCTCTATCAGGGTGTGTGTGAGTGTGTACCTATCAGAGGGTGTGTGTGAGTGTGTACCTATCAGAGTGTGTATATTTGTGTGTCTGCACCTCTCAGGGTGTGTATTTGCGTGTATGTGTGCATGTGTATCTATCAGGGTTTGTGTGTGAATGTGTACCTCTCAGGGTGTGTGTACTTATGTGTGTATGCGGGTGTATCTATCAGGGTGTGTGTGTGTGAATGTGTACCTTTCAGGGTGTGTGTGTGAGTGTGTACCTATCAGAGTGTGTATATATGTGTGTGTATATCTCTCAGGGTGTATCTCTCAGGGTGTGGGTGTGTATGTATCAGGAGGTGTGTGTGAATGTGTACCTATCAGGGTGTGTATATTTGTGTGTGTGCGTGTGCATGTGTGTGTGTCTATCAAGGTGTGTATATTTGTGTGTGTATGGATCTCGTGTGTGCATGCCTGTGTGGGAGTGTGACAGTCTGTGTGTATCTCATTCTGTGTGTCTTTCTCTCCACATGCCTATATCTCAATGTGAGTTGCGTTGTGTGTTTTGCTTACAAGACTGGCCATGAAGCTCCTGGCCCTGTGTAAAGACAGCTCAGTAATCTCCCTGTCTGTGACTGGGGGAGCCAAGGAAAATCTCCCTCACTTCCCGACGCTAACCAGTTCCCCCTCCAGACAATCATTTCTTGTATCTAAGCAGCCACCTCTTCCCACAGCCTCTTCAACCCAGCACTTCCCTGGCTCTCAGTGGCTCTCCAAAGTCTCCCCAAACACTCCCCTGGTTCTCAGCAGCCCCCATGAATGCTCTCATCTGTCTCAGCCCCTTCCCAACCCAGACAATGTATTTCCCCTGGAACCCCTGCCCGCCCCCCACCTGGTTTCCTGTGGTTTCTATATATGGCGCTGCTCAACTGACTTTAGTCAGTGGCGTGGGGACCTTCTGTGGTTTCCTCCCACATGGGGCCCCCGGTCTCAGAATGTGAAATTGTGGGGGCAGAGTGACATGGGGGGGAGGGGGGATACAAGGGTCCTGTGATCTGGTCCCATTTTACACTGGGACTTTACCAGGTCTGCCCCGGCTTTGACTCATCCTCTCCTCTCCCCCAGGCCGGCCTTTTCTGGCAGCGAGTCACGGGGCTGGGGGCAGGAGTTGCTGCAAAGAAAATCGGTATTGACACGCCCCACCATGCCCAGGAAGCAGAGACAGCAGCAAGATGAACTTCTGCTGTGGCCTGGGCTCCTTCCAGCCCGGGGCTGGCCCTCCCGCTCACGGCCAGGGCTGAGGTGGACGAGCCGCAAGCAGAGGGCAGGAAAGAAGCAGGAGTGTGGGTCACAGCCACACCGCAGCTCTGCGCTGAAAAGTGGAGCCTTCGCTGCCACTTCCTGGTGGGGGCGGTGCAAACCAGCCTTCAGCTCTGAGGCCTGAGCTTGGGCAGGGCTTTGGTTCGGCCTTTAATCTAGCTCCAGCCCTATGGAGCTAACAGTCGACCCTGCCACCTTAAAGTGCGGGTGGATCCCCTTGTTTAGGCACTGGGCTGAGCCTTGGCATGAATTCCCCGCTCAGCCACAGACTTCTTCACTGAACCTGGGCACGTCCCTTAACCCCTTAGTTCCCCACCTGTGCAGTGGGAGTAGGGATCCTTCCTTGGTGGCAGAGACTGCCTCCTCCTAGGCGTGGGTGCAGGACCCAGCTCAGTGGGGTCCTGATCTCCAGGGGCTACCAGAACACAAAGAATACTAGTGATCAGGCCAGGTCAAGACTGGGACTTCTACCTTGTTGCCTGCACACTTCTCTGAAGCATCTTCCCCATTTCTCCACCCTGCAAGCCCCATGGAGACTGGGGAGGCACCAGGCCATTTGGGATGAAGGGAACCAGCAGGACTGGGTCAGCCTTGCCTTTCACCAGCAGGGGTAGCTGCAGCCAACAACGAGCTCAGGGACACGGCTTCCCGGGTGGCTTCCAAGGAGCAGCCGCATGGGAAGTAGAGGGAGGAAGCACTGGTGGCCTTGGCTGCTCTCCAAGGCCGGCACATAAGGTGATGGCTACCTAGGAGGAGCCCCTGAGGAGCCATGATCCACTGTAGATCCCACCTCGGGTGTGGTGTCTACTGCAGGTGATGCACCACCCACCTCCTCCCAAGTAAAGGGTTGAGAGGAGAAGTGACTCTAGCAGGGATGACTGGGGGGGGGAGGGTGGTAAGGAATTGCAGTGATGATGGAGACCCCCCCCAGCAGAGGTGGGCAGTCTCTCGACAGCTGAGATGGATGCAACAAGTGTGGAGCAGAAAAGGAGGCCATGATCCAGCCCCCCCGCCACCATCACCTCCACTACATGTCAGGGAAGTTCAGATGGGGATCTGGATCGGGGTGTTGTGGCCTACCCTGGTCTTTAGGTGGTGAGCATGACCAAGTAGCAGGAGGTTGCGACCCCCCTCCCCATGCCCTTCCCATATTGGTAGATGGGAGGGGAGTCTTGGCTAGGTCACAGCTACCTGGGAGAGGGTATAGCAAAGGCTGAGACCCCTGCTCTGGGCTGTCATGATACCCCTGGCATTGGGTGAGTGCAGAAGTCTGGCTGAGCCCGTGAACACGATCTCACATTTCCCACTGCACCGTGCATTCCACAATCTACAGGCTGATTCGCCCACTGGGTCGGCGCTGCACGGACTGGCATAGGAGCTGTATCAGCCGCTGTGTGCGCAGCCCTGCTAAAGCCAGCGTTGGAGTGAGCAGAGCTGGGCACTGGGGCCAAGAATACCAGGGCAAACACCAGGGGAGAAATGCTCTGGCATCTTTGATGTCCCCCCAGAGCAAGTGGGGCCTTGTTCTTTAAGGTCTCCGCTTCCAACAAGCACCCTGGGAGTCATGTGGGAGAGCGCCGCTTTCCTGCCGTAGGACGACCCCTGCCCTGCTAGCATTTGAAGTAGAGTTTTGGGACTGCAAACCTGACGTGCATTAACTCATCCCCTCTGGAAGGTCAGGAGCAGCCACAGGGCAGACTAGGATTAGGAGCTGAGCTCCCAGGCACCAGGACATGTGGCCTGATTTCAATGTCCATTGATTCCCATTGCCACCAAGGGTGGTGCACTCAGTTTAATCCAGGGGGCTGGAAGACTATGGGGAGAGCCGTCATTTCTCCAGTCTTCAACTCACAGTCCCTGGGCACCAGCATGGGGCTGAGCAACCAGATCCAGCCCCTCTGCAGAGACTGGCTCCTTCTGTTCCCCACCCCAAGGAAAGACCTCCCCAGAGCTCCAACCCCTCATGTCCCAGCAGTGACTCTTCCTCCTCCCCCAGCCCACAAATTAACATACCTCTCCCTGCACACACCAACCTCCTGTGTCCCCCTCATCTTCCGACCTTCCCATCCCCAGAGCACTGCTCCATCCCCCACTGACTGCAGGATTGCAAAATGCAAATCACGCCCTCCCCCCCCCCCTTTGCTGCCTATACACCCCCCAGTGTGATGCTCTCGCAGGTCTCTGCCTCCTGGAGTTTCACTTCTTGGGGAAGGAAAGTCCCAGCCAGCTGGGGAAGGGGGAACCCCCGGACGCTTCCCCTGCAGCAGTGACAGTCAGTGGAACCACAGGCCCTGTGTTCTGGTCAGTTAGTGAGTGCTAATTATAGCAGGGAGACATACATTTCTCGTGCTTAACCGCTACAAAAAGGGAATGGTCAGGCGGATGAATCCGGATTCGTCTCTGTGTCCACCTGCTCTCAGCGACCCCTGTGTGACTCTGTGGGGTGTAGCGCTGAGTCTGGCCCATAGTGGGGATCTGCTTCTGTCTGCTACCTTCAGAATCGCAGCACAGAGTCTAGGGGGCTGATGCCCTGAGTGGCCACTGCCTGCCCCCAGGCGCCTCTTGCTTCAATGTCACAGTTACACTCTGGGGCTGGAGAGGCCAAGAACCCCTTGCCTTTAGCTACCATATCTGCCACAGGGGGCAGTGAAATCAGAGGCAAGTTCCTGACGCCTGGGACTCTGTTCTCCTGATTCCTTGATGGCTGGGGCAAGGGCCACGAGACTCACTAGTGAGCCGTAGTGATGCTGGGGGCACAGCGTGGGTATCCACACGGCACGGACAGGGCTCCTAAGTGCCGTCCCACTCTGCACGGGGGAGGAGACGTCCCTGGGTACCACCCTGGTCTGCACCCATAGGCCCAGACACTGCTTAGGTGACACAGAGGGGCCAGATTCTGGCCATCTGTGGCCAGCACTGAATTCCCTTGGTAGTGGAACTAACGCCCACACCAACAGCCTTCACCTTCCCAGCACAGAGGCCCTGCCAGGGGAGGGAGCATGCCAAAGGCTGGACAGCGGTAGGGTGGAACTTGAGGACCTTAGCCCCGGGGTACCAGTTAGAACAGCCCCTAGGCTGCTCTAACTCAAATCAGGGCAGAGCCAGCACAGCATCAGAGAGTTGTAGCTAGTTTCCTAACAGAACCACTCCTCTGTGCCAAGCAGACCTGAAATTTAGGAGTGAATAAAGCCTTTCTAGTCTCATCTCCTCCAGCCCCTCTCTGTGCTTAGAAAGTGCATCACTCCTGCGGGTGCTAGCTTGTGACATGCGATGTCTCCAAAC